ATCTATCTATCTATCTATCTATCTATCTATCTATCTATCTATCTATCTATCTATCTATCATCTGTATGCCATTCTCCCATGAGAGACAATGATCAAGGAGGGAATAAGCATGGTCTGGGAAGCCAGCAGCTGTGGAGACATTAAAATTCTGAAATGGCCCAATAGGATAGGGACTCAGCAGGTAAATATCCTGAAGTAATTTGAGAATCAGTGGATCTAAAGTAAACACCATAGCTATGCCTTAAGTCAGCCAGCCCATAGTAGTCTCCAGCAACACTGAGGATTGAGAACAAGAACCACAGAATATGGATCATAAGTGCATATGGTATATAAGACACATGCAAAGTAAGCACCGGGGGATTTTATATACATACATGGTATATATATATTCTGAATGTTGAGTAAATTACTTAAACTTTTATTTGACAATCACAAAATCAGAAACTAAATGTATTTATCATTGTTCCTTATATTCTAGGTTAATAAAATACTACTAGCCCTGAGACTATTTATTTATCTTAGACTTAAATCCACGCTCACCTAATATAGAGTCATGTGTAAGTTTGTCACAACACACTCTTCTGTTCTTTGTTTGCTGCAGTCCTGCTACTTTTAGTCTTGCAGATTTTAGAAAGGGGTTCAATTCCCTCTTCCCGTGTGCCTATCACCCTTATGACTTCATTTGTGACCTAGGATATAGTGTATTATTAAGCTTCTTTAAGGAAACTGAACCAATAGGGTAAGAGCATGTGTGTGTGTGTGTGTGTGTGTGCGCGCGCGCAGGAAAATTTGTGTTTATATTAATATGGACTCAAGTCCCTAGGTTATTTGCATGCCCCTTGACACACACTGAACATGTCACAGATTCAGTAAGTGAGCTTTTATTGAGGTAAACCACACAGGTTCAGTGGCTGCTTGTTCATGTATACCAACGATCCTAACCATAACTATACACACATAGAGATGTACACACACACATGGACACACACACACACACACACACACACACACACACACACACACACGTAGCACGATTAATAAAAACCCAGAAACAGATATTGGGGTTCAACCTGAAAATCTGAAAAGCAAAACAACCAGTCACTGGTTCTTACCTCTATCTCAGTTCAAAATGGCAATCCTGCCTCCAGGAATCCTCAGAATTAGACTGACTGAGAGCTGTCTTTTCCCATCTTCTATTCATCTCTAGTGCTTAGATTAACGGTGAGCACCACTACCACCTGATTTCTATAGCAAACTAGTGTCACTACTGGAATTAAAGGAGTGTGTCACCGCTGCCTTGTCTGTAAGACTGATCAGTGTTGCTGTTTCACTCTCTGAAGCTAAGGCAAGTTTTATTTATTAAAATACAAATGAAATATCACTGCACAAACACCTCTCTCTCTCTCTCTCTCTCTCTCTCTCTCTCTCTCTCCAAAGTTAAAAGCTGAAGAAAATCTGGGAAAACTGTAAGAATTCAGTATTAATGAAAATAACTTTGGTCCAAAGAGAATTCCCTTTTCCCAGGCTTTGTCCTCAAGTTAATAATACGGCTTAGGATCATTTAAGGTTATCTACTTCACCAGCTGTTCTTCTTTGATCTCAGCCTAAGTTTAACCTGACTTTAAGTGAGCAATGTAACCAACCTTACCATTTCTTGGATTCCCCTGACAATCTTCAGCATTTACAATCCAAACTGAGTGTGTAGCTCTAATAATAAATTACTTATATGTTCCTGACCAAAAATACTTCATGCAGTATTGTGGTAATCTTTTACTGAAAACAAAGAACAGGTTAAAAGCAACATTAAACAACACATATCCTGTCATGTTGGATGAGCATGTGGATACAGGATGATAACAATATTTCCTCTTTTGTTTGCAATTCTGGGTCAGTTAGAGTCACTGAAGTAATTTCCTCTCTTGTAAAACTCCATTGAGGATTTATATAAATAATCATCTTTTCCATGCTGTCTTTTTCTGTACTGTTAAATCTGTACAGAACAAATTCTGTTGTGGAGGGTAGGCACTGATTCAGGATAGACACAGATACAAGGTATCAAGGTACACACACACACACACACACAAACATAAACACACAAACACAAACACACACACACACACACATAGCAGCAGACAGGTTGTAGGCAACCAGCAACAAAATTATAGACAGATAAATACAGGGAAAAAAGTGGAGAATTCAAATCATCTGGGATCTCTCTTGGTTAACCTAATCTCAGATGATGTTACTTCATTGTATTGGGTATCATAAGGTAATGCCTTGGATCTCATAAAAGTTCAATTGTCAAGTATAATTAGAAATATTAAAAATATTTAATCACACTGAAGGACAACTGAATCACACTGAAGAACAACACTCATGAAAAGTCCTGCCCTGTCTTTAGTCTGTATATTAATCTATCTGACAACAGCCTTCACCCATAGACATTTATGCACCTCCGTATGACCAGTTATGGAAGGATACCCAGTAAGGGAGCTGAGTTTCTACTTATGGTAGCTGATAATCAACCTATATTAGCTAGCTGCACTTTGAAAATGCAAAATAAAAATCGGTTCATTGAGAATTAACTGCATCTCATTGTCAGAGAAACTGGATAATAACTCTAATGACGTGGTGTACAATATTTTCAACTTTTTGAAGTTATAATAAAGACTGGCAATATGGTATGAAAGATAAGACTGGATGATGAAAAATAATACATATATGAAATAAGAAATCATAGAACATTTGATAGCCTTGGAGAGGCCAGTTAAAGTGGGTAAGACTCTGTTCATGATAAAATCACATTCTGAAATTAGAAAAAGTTAGGGATTAGCAGAGAGACTCTTCATTAGTTCTTTGGAAGTCGGTGACAAGCCTGGGACAAGATGTGAGAGTATGAGGAGGCACACAAGCAATAAAGCATTATGTACCCCATTGTTCCCTCAGAAATAGAGAATGTTATGTAAGAATTATTCTTGTCAACAGAATAAAAAATTAAAGACTAAAAGCAGTTATGGACCATGCACTAATTCCCTATGGTTGCTTCCACACAGGCCCACAGCAGAGTTCTTAAAAAGATCCAAGAAGACTGGCAAGAAGATTACAAGGACTCAAAACTTTGATCCAGATAGAAAAGAATACATCGTGACTCAGGAAGCCCCCCCCCTTTTTTTGGATTTGCATGTTTGATGATCCAAACAAATACCACAACCATCATTAAAAGGCTCAGAGCAAAAATGACATATTAATTTTAACATTTATTTTCCAGCTAAGGAATTCTAGTAAAATTAAATTAGTTATGAATCACAATACAAATCATCTAGTATGAATTGATACACAAAGAAGCAGGTCTATTAAAAATTGGTAACCCCTGTTGATTGAATTTGGTGATAATAATGGTGAAAGGAAGTTGATAAAGTAGCTCTCACAACTCATCCTGTGATCAAATTTAACACAGATTAAGAAAAGTGTAGATTGGTATAACATAGATATTGGGGATATTTTTATAAAAATATGGAGAATTTGTAGTGCTTATTGGAACATCTATTTTTTTATTTCTATTAAGCCCAACTTTTGTTGATTGCCTTGATGAGTTCCCGAGGATGAGCTGTGGAACATGGCCCTGGGAAACTCTTTCCAATTATAAGTACCAATCGTCCCTTTAGAATGGTTCCTTCCTACTTTTCAGGTTTTTAAATTGGGCTTGTGTCGTTCTGTCTGTAGCGGATGAGGTGGACTTTACATTGTAGTCTGATTCTCAGTGATAGATAATGCAGTGAAGCTCATGACTACATGCGGACAGCAGCTGAATCTAAAACGTTTTTTCTTGTACATGCTGCACAACCATCAGCATCTCAGAAAGATTTTGTAACTACCAGACTGTTCTGAGAACACTGGTTAAATACTTGAAAGGACTACAGAAACAGTATAGTTATATTACTAATATTGTGAGATTCTTAAAGATAAATTTAGAATAATACATGAGATTTTCTGCTTACGGTTTGCAAGCATTAAAATCTTTCAATACTTCCAATATTATGCATGACAGTATCTCTGCATTTGAATACTTATCACAAGAACATACTCATTACAGGAAATAATTGAGTCTGGCAATATTGTCCCTGGAGATTTGGAAAGTTTTTATGTTTTTAACTTTGCTCTAAATATTTGATCCCTCCCAGGCTCACTCATAATGATTTCAATTGTCTCCATGTCCTTACGTCTGATCCTTTGGAAGATGTTTCCAAAGCTTAAAATGCAAACAATCATTTAGAGCATAACAAAGACCCACAAGAAACTCTGGCCCATTAGAAAACATTATAGTGTTTTCTAAGATTCAGCCAGAATCTTTTAAAAATCATCTGTTGATTTTTACCCGATAACAGACTACAGGTAAGTAGAAACCTTAAGCAAATAACGGGAACACCCCATGCTGTCTTGTTCTCACCTTTGCCCCTGCATCTCAACAGGGCCAAGAATGAAGAAAGATGCTTTTAGAACATTATGCACAGCAGCCATTAAGGGCCTGACCTGATTCTAACCAGGAAAGCAACCTACTCTTCAGGATTATCATACATCATATTCTGTCTTTTTGTTTTGGAATTTGGAGTTTGAAGTTGTGGATAAGCTATCAGCAAAGATTCTTTTAGTGGAGACATCTATTTTTCCCTCACACACATTTGGAGCTTCCCTCATTTGGTGTCACAGAGATCTGCATTTCAGAACACTGAATATCATCCTCAGGAAAGCTTTTGGTAAGAATTGATGCCATTTAAAGAAAAGGGCAGACAAAAAGGTCTTTTTTTATTCTAAGCTCAAGTTCAATTTCTTTCCAGCGTAATTTTTGCCAGCTTGAAAGCATTCATTTTGCTTTATCCTCTACCTTTCCAGCAATCAGATTAGTTCCTGGGCTCCCTAACCTAGAACATAGTAACACTGTGAAATAGATATTATCTCTTTTCTTCAGTAACCAAGTAACTTGAACACTTTTAGTACATGCATAATCTACTGGGAAAAATTTATTTCAAATTTATGAATCTCTAATACAACAAGTTGATTATATTTCTGATCACAATGCCTGAAAAACAATTGCTAAGTAGATGAGATATAGCACAGATATAGATCACAATGAGTATTTGTTTCAAATTATGACAAAATATGATTTTTATATCTGAATGTGAATGGATTCATATTATATATAATCCTCTGTATATAGGAATAAACATAAACTACCTCTTCTAAAAACACTTTTTGGGTTTTCCTGAGCAAGAATTGCTGTAATTAAACTCTCTTTATTTCTGTTTATTCTTGTTATACCATGGAACATTACTTAGGGTCTGAGAGTCTTAGCTGAAACTAATTATGACCCAAGGAAGAATCAAATGTGTTTTAAATTCCTACAGTCTACCATAAATTCAGTATAAGTGATCACATCACAACTTAGCTCAGGCTAATGAGCCTCTGTTAGTGCCATATGTGAGCACACAAAACTGGGGGAAACTAGAAATTCAGCGTACTGCCACCCAGCAGAGGTCATGGTCTTCTACACATATACAGACTGATAACTTATGATTTCTTGTAGACACTGGGGCAATTGTGAAAACCAGAGACAGTTTTCTACCCACTGAAAAGTACCTTGATGGACTTGCTCCTTCTCATGAGATAGTGGAGTTAGAGCTGAGCAAGAAGACAGGGATAGCCTTTCTTTTAACAGAAAAAAAGAAAGGATAGTATAGTCCTGGATAAAAAAGACTTAGGTTCCTATGATGCCCTGGACTCAGGCCCTGGACTTCACCTATAGGATTTTTCCTTCTCCAGGTTTCTGAAGAAGTGGCTTTTGCACTCACAAGTGATGGAGACCAGAAAGCCCAGGGATAACGAGACAGTTTTTGTAATGAATGAGACTAGTTGGTTTCAATAACTCAATATCAGCCAGGACCTTGCTTTGAAGAACCCAGGAAAGCTTTAGCATGAAATTAGGTAGATGCACTTGGTCCATATTTATAGAATTGAGCTAAGAACTCATAGGTAACTGGTAGATTGTCTTTTTCTCTAGGAAAATGAAATTTTCTGGTATCAAGCTGACCTAAAATGAACTGTCTCTCTATTATCTAAACAAGATGGATTTGAGTCTTGTTCTCTATGCACCAAAGAAGAAGAAATGATTTCCCTGAAGACTGAGTGCAGAGTGCATTCTGACAGTCGAGTGTTGATGGGACAGGGACAGTTCTTTAGAAGGTCCAAATGATTCTATTCCTAGTGCTTTCATACTTAATGTCTCCTGGTCAAACTTCAGTGGCTCCTAGTTGCCTTAAGAACAAATTATAATTTCTTAACATTACATTTAATATACCCCACTAAAGTGCAAGTCAACATTCTTTTCCTTACCCACCAGAATGCTGTCCTCTACTATATTGTCACTTTTCTATGTGCGCTAAGGACACAATGGCCTCAGTCCATTGCCTAAGACTGTGCTTCTCAGCTCATGGGGACCATGTGATGAGATCCTGTCATAGTCCCTTATCTATGAGCTTCCTCCCACTCTTTGAAGTCTGTCTGTGCTTACTCATTGAGCAATTCAGAGGCTTTCTGGGGGAAAATAAATGGTTCCCTATAAACATTCTTTACCATAGAGCATTGTTGTGGCCCTTTTACCAACACCCATATTGTGCTGCAACTCTCCACACACACAAATGGACTCTTTAAAGATAGAAGAGACCAACCTCCTCCAAAGAGAGAAATTCAAAATGGCTCACAAGTTCTGTTATAAAGCAGGGTGGCACACTCCACATAAGAAACAGAAATATCAGTGAGGAGCAACCCCTTCATTCTTCTTCAGGGTCTGTTCTTTTTATGCCCTATGAGTATGGCAGCTTATCACCAGGAGGGGGCGCAAAGTCAATAGAAGAATGCTTTTCCTGACTAAGTGAAGCCTAGTAACTCTGATACTCTAAGATAGCCATGTTCTTCTATCTCAGATTAGACTACAGGCTCTTGGGCAAATGCTGTCTTTTACTCATCCTGGGAGTGGATTTTAATTCTCCGTTATCACTGAGCAATCCTCCACTCTATGACATTCTCTTTAGCTAGATTCCAAATTGTATTTTTAATAACATAGTTCCTAGACTACTTTTTATTTAATATTTTTAATGTTTTTTTCCTCCTTCAATCCATTATTTATTTTTTTTATGGTATAGTGGTCAAGTTTCCCCATTTTTACATTTACAATCCACTCTTCCATCTAATCTACAATTTTATTAGTGCTCCTTAAACATATTCCCTATAAACATGCCTCCTTTACTTGTTGCACATGTTCTTATCTGTCTGTGCCTTTTTGATCTGTGCTTTTTCTCTGTGTTTTGTTTTCTACACTTTGAAGAATTTTCTATGTTCTTTTAAAAGCCTCCTCTCCTTACCTATATTCTCTGATCCATTAATATTTTCTCCTCAAAGTCACCACTTCTTTAGATTTGTCTCTAAAAGGACACAAATTCTGGTAAAATACTACTTTAATTTCCATGTATTGTTTTGCTATATACATCGTAAATAACTTTTGATAGTTTGTCAGAAATCTGTTTGTGTCGTTGTAGATGTTACGTTCATTTGCTTCCAATTTCTGAAAACTTTCGCAGTTAAAGATCCATGTGACTGAGCCGTTATAGATATCATGAACATCTGACCTGCCGTCTGCAATTTTTGACTACAGACAATGTCATGATCAGTTCCATCAGTCCAAATTTCCCAAAAAGCTTCACTAGCATGGGCTCTCAGGGCTGGATACCAGATCCTATACTGATTCTTCTGTTGTTTTTCTTTAACTGTGTGTAGGCACACAAACATATCTGTGTCATGGTGACCTTGTAGAGGTCAGAAGACCACTTCCAGGAGTTGTCCTCTACTTCTGTCCTGTGTGTTCTGGCTGTGTCAGGCTTGGTGCCAGAAACTGCTGAGCCATCTTACTGCCCCTCCCTCTTCCAATTTTAAGGTCCTGACCCTGACTTGTGTTTATTTGATACGTCTGTCTGTTTAAATGTTCAGGTTTGAACACTTTGCAGATTCTGTACTACAGTATTTCTTTAAGATGTTGACTCTGAACATTTAGTAAGTCAGCAAAGTTACTTCCTGGTTTCCAGTCTGGGTGACAGACAATGGAACAAAACCAAAAACCTAAACAGTAATAATAGAAAGAAAGAGAAGATAACAGTGAAACCCACTAGTTTATTTGGTTAGTACCCATTAATAACTACAATAAACTGAGACAAAACCTCCATTATAGGCAATTAATTTCCAACATTTGTGCACCACATCCAGGCTATTTTATACTCATTCCCAAATAGTTAAATCACAACTTGAAAAAGCAGCAATAAACTGCTTGAGATCTAAAGATTCACTCTGTTAATGGAGAAAACTTAAGTAGTCATTCCTCATTCAAGGCCCAGAATTGTGCTGAGAAACTTTAACACATAAGCAACAAAATCAACTCAGCAGATAGTATTTACATCTATTTGTGCACACACACAAACAAACACATAAGTAACACATATAATCAAAGAAAAAAGTCTCTTCCTGTCCCCTCTCTCAGAGAGGCTGCCTCTCTCCCTCTTTCTCTCTGTCTCTCTCCCCCCTCCCCTTTTTCCTTCCCCTCCATAATCCACCAAATAAATGTCTAACATAAAAAAAAAGAAAAAAGAAAAAAGAAAAAAAAAACAAGAAAAAAGTTGATTAATTTGAGATTGAGGAGGTATGAAAAAAAGTTCAAGCAAGGGTAGCTGAGAAGGGCTGGACGAAGTAAGGGATGATGGAGTGATGTAATTCTATTTCAATTAAAAATTATTTAAAATGAACAATATCTTAATTATTAATCACATAGAAAAAGTGTCTTTCCCCCTTATACTGTGACATCTAAATACCGACCATCAACAACAAAGAATATTTTTATTTTATGAAGTGGCTCTTATAAACTTATTAATAGATTTCTTCCTATTCTCCCCAGAGTTCTACCGGAGGACGGACATATTCATATGGAGAGAGCCAACGGTTCCATGTTGACAGAATTTGTCTTGGTGGGGCTTTCTGACCACCCAAAGCTCCAGAAAGTTTTATTTGTTCTGGTTTTGTGCATGTATCTGCTGATCCTGCTTGGGAATGGAGTCCTCATCTCAGTAGTCGTCTATGATGTGCACCTGCACACCCCCATGTACTTCTTCCTCTGCAACCTTTCCTTCCTGGACATCTGCTACACAAGCTCTTCTGTCCCACTCATTCTCGGGAGCTTTCTGAAAGGAAGGAAGAGAGTTTCCTTCCCTGAGTGCATGGTCCAAATGTTCTTCTCCTTTGCCATGGGTGCCACAGAATGTGTGCTCCTAGGCACGATGGCACTTGACCGCTTTCTGGCCATCTGCTACCCACTGAGATACCCTGTTATCATGAGCAAGGGTACTTATGTGCCCATGGCGGTTGGATGCTGGGTTGCTGGGACTGTTGACTCGTTGGTGCAGACATCTCTGGCAGTGCATTTACCATTCTGTAGTAACAATGTCATTCACCACTTTGAGTGTGAAATTCTGGCGATTCTGAAACTGGCTTGTGGAGACATTTCAATCAATGTGATTAGCATGGCAGGGTCAAATCTGCTTTTCTTAGCTCTTCCATTGATAGTCATTGCCATCTCTTACGTTTTCATCATTGCCACCATCCTGAGGATCCCTTCCTCTGAAGGAAAACAGAAGGCTTTCTCCACGTGCTCTGCCCATCTGACAGTGGTGATTATATTCTATGGCAGCATCTTCTTCATGTATGCAAAGCCAAAGTCTAAAGCCACTGCTGGGGGAGAACATCAAAGCCTGACTGAGGTCCTCATCTCCTTTTTTTATGGGGTGGTGACCCCCATGCTCAATCCTCTCATCTACAGTCTGAGGAACAAGGATGTGAAGGCTGCTGTTCAAAGCATGCTAGGAGGAAATCGTCTGATGAAACATAAATGATTATTTGTTTAGACCATGGACTTGCTATTGGAAGTTGTGTTTACATAAACACAAAATTCATAAAGACCGAATGACACATGAAAATTCAAAGACATTAAAATATTTTGGTTGCTTTTTTACAGTTACGTTTTTGTTATGAATGCAGAAATGAGACACACTGTCATTTGTTAAATATACTGTTACAGAAATGCAAGAATGCTGAAAATATTTTAATAACAGCTAGCAAGGAAAAATAAACTTATAATCATTTAAAAAATAATAGGTAAAATGGTTTAAGAAATACATTTTTTCTTTTTTACTGATATTTATTGAGCTCTACATTTTTCTCTGCTCCCACTCTGCTCCCAGCCAGGACCTCCCCACTTCAATCCTCCTCCAAGGTCCCAATGCTCCCCATTTACTCAGGAGATCTTGTCTTTTTATACTTTCTACTTCCCATGTAGTTTATATCTATGTAAGTCTCTCTTAGTGTCCACATTGTTGTCAAGAAATACATTTATTTAAAGCCCTAAAGGTAGTTTATAGTCTGCTGTAGATATTCTTTGATGAGTAGACACAGTGAATATTAGTTGGTACATGATGTAAGGCATTCATTGTATTTGCTCACTTATTGTTTCGATTCAACACTCATATACATTCCCCGATGACTGAACCTTACTTTAGCCTACAATAATCCAACTTATAACAGAGTCTGGAACATAATTAGTGCTTAATATTTTAAAATAAATGCAATATCCAACTGATGATGTTAGAAATGTATTTCTGTCATACCCAAAAGAGTAAAATTCATTAAAAGAGAAAATTAATTAGATTAAATATTTTATATATATTGTATGTTTTGGGATTTTTTTCACACAAACATTATTTTGTATCTATGGCATTATCTTTTGTGTTCTTGGTTATGATCACTGTCAATGGGGAGATATGCTTTTGCTTCCTAGCAAAGACAGCTTTTTTGAGACTTCCTTCATAATTAGAATATAGATGTGACCAAGTTCTAAAAATGCATCTTGTGTTGTAACTTCTTAAACATTAGGTGACACTATAGCAGAACACACGTCTTGTATTTTGAGCTGAGTGCAGTCTGGAAGGAGGACCTCATCCTGCCCTGCATGGGATCATCCACTCTCTTGTAAGCTGTAACAGAGTTACACAGAGCTGGTAACCGAGAAAACTTGCCATTTGTGGGTGAGCAGCCAAAGATGTTGGGTAAAGTTCTTCCATGAACTCAATTTGTGAGATTTGGGATAAATATGATGGTTCAAAATGGAAACTATGCCTATTTGTTGAACAGTGGGGTCCTGTGAACTAGCACCCAGCTGATCAATAAAAAGACCACTTTCCCTGAGGGAGCCATCCTTAGTCAGTACTAAAGAATTCTGCTCCTTGAAAGAGAGAGAACATGAGCAAGGAAGTCAGGACCGCGAGGGGTGCGTTCACCCACTGAGATGGTGGGACAGATCTAATGGGAGATCACCAAAGCCAGTAGGAATGGGACTGATGGAGCATGTGATCAAACCAGACTCTCTGAATGTGACTGACAGTGGAGGCTAACTGAGAAGCCAAGGACGATGACACTGGGCTTTGATTCTACTGCATGGACGGGCTTTGTGGGAGCCTTGTCTGTTTGGATGTTTACCTTCCTGGACCTGGTACTTCCCCTAGGGTAGGGAACACTGACTGCTCTTTGGCCTGTAGAAGGAGGGGTAAGGGGAGTGGAGGAGGGGAGAGGAGGGAAGAGAGAGGAGGGGAGAGGAGGGAAGTGGGAGGAGGTGGAAATTTTTAATAATAATAAAAAAAGAATACTGCTCCTTTATCTAACTCTGAGGAGGTGAGGTCATGACTATGGAGTAAAAATCTAAAGTAATTAACTGCAGCTACTTGTCAGAGAAGAGTTCACAAATCCTTTTTCAATGGTTGCGTTTTATCAAATAAAATAAGGCAATTCGAGAAATAACCTCATTAACTCATATTCCTTAGTTATTTGGTCAGAGTCTATATGCCACACATCAAACATTTCATACAAACTGCAGCACAGCTGGAAGGACTGCAGGGATACAATAGTAATAAGGTTATCTCCATGGGAAATGCCAGCGTCAGTCTGCCAATGGGTCTGGTGCGAACTTAGAGAGCTGAGCCCAGAACTCTCGCATTGTGCCTGAACGCTCTAATGGAGCAAAGTGGATTTTCAGAAGCATTGTTTTCTTTGACATGATGTACTAGGCACAACTGAACCTCAAACACATACTGTGTAATCCTGCAAGCACAGACTAGAATGTAACAACTGTCAGAGTAATAGACACATTTCATGTTCTAAACATATCAATAGAGTGATTTCGCAAAAAGATGGAATCAAGCAGCTGCTTTTAGATGGAGCATATTTTCTCCCTCAGTAGAATAATATGAGTTAACACCAATTCACAAGACTTCGGATGAGAGTCCCTAGCTTGTTCCCACTAAACATAGACTTAAAGGCTCTTGGGAAAAATAATATTTGCTTTTAATCATTCAAGATTCAGAGAAAAAAAGTAAAAATATAAAAATGTGCTGCACTAAGCACTTTGTTGAGACTCCATGCACACTATACCCTAACTGAGGTATGTAGGCCAAGCCCATTTTGGAGGTAATAGTAAATTAAAAGAAGTACGTTAATTGGTATGCAACTTTTAAAAAGGCACCTTGCCTTACTTCAGTCTGTCCATTTTAAGGAAATATATAGATGTATAAAGAAAAAATGTTTAAATTAAAAGACAGAAAATGCATGCTAGGCAAATTATTTAAGTACTGATATTTCTATATTAATGACTCATAAATGAATTTATGATCAAATACAATTTATTTCTAATAAAGGAATAGTTGCATTATGATAGAAGGTGAATTTAACCCAATAGAGGTACAATTCTGACTGATAAGTCTCCTAACAAAAGACTTTCAACGGGTATAATGGAAGCAATATAATGACCTTTACATCCTTCTCAAGTATTAAGACAGTAAACAAAGATTTAGAGTGATGTAAAATATTTGAGCAAAAATAAATCCCACTCTTATGGAACACACATTCTTCTAAAGCATATGTAGGATGTTTATTAAAAAATCAATATAATGTCAAACTTTATGCATGACCAGCATTTTAAAAGAAATTATATTACCCAGTCTACACTCTTGTTCCTATATGCACCTTAAGAATTATTAATTAAGGAATCCTTATAAGCTGGCACAATGAAAACACATTTGTGAATCACTGAAGAGCAGTAGTATTATTGATAATGTTAATAATTCTAATCATTCCAGTCAGAATGTATATCTGTTATGAACATCTGATATGACCATAGAAATAAGCTATAGCTAATTACTGGTCTTTTTATAGGTCAGAGAAAAAAGTTAAACACTTAAGACTGCATGAAACAAATCCTATGCTTTTAAGTACTTCATTAACTGTATTTATTGCTTACCTTAGTACCTATTCTGATAGATTATTAATTCTGCTATATCTTAATAAAATATTTCTACCATCATTTATGCTAAAATGAACTATAATTTAATAATATTGAGCAATGTATAATAAAGTACTAGATATACACACAGCCTTTTGGAATATTTACACTTAATTCTTAGCAGAAAGTTGATTTTAGAGAATAGAAGAGAGAAGGATGGAAATAAAAGGAAATTGAGGAGAAAAAAATCAGAGAATTTAAATTCAGAACTAACATGCTAGTTCTTTTAGTATATCCATATGATCCTATTTCTGATTAACTTTTCACCATAATATTGAGAGTTATATGACATCACTCTTAGTTTACAGGCAAAGAGTCTAAGACGCACAGAGGTTCACCCATTGAGATACTCTAGCTGGGTTTCTATCCTATAAAGCTGATGGGTCGGTTGGGAAATCTAAAGTCCAGATGTTTACTTGAGTAATGAAAACGTTCCAAAGGGTGTGAGTTCATAGATAATCTGAGAAGAAGGAGGGGGAGAGAGAAGAAAAATGAGGGGAAGGGAAGGGCAGGGAGAGGGAGATGGGCTAGGGTTAGGAGTTAGGGTTAGGGTTAGGGAGAAGGAGAAGGATTGGGGGAGGGAGAGGTAATGGAGAAGGAAAGGAAGAAGGAGAGGGGAAAGGAGAGGGAGAGGAAGAGGAAGCAGGAGAGGGAGAAGAAGAACAAGAGGGAGAAGAAGAGAAAGAAGGAGGAGCAGGAGAAGGTGATGGAGAGGAAGAGGGAGAGAGAGGAGATTGATTTTTAAAATGGATCCTAGAGCTAATCTGTCAGACTCCTCATATGTTCACTCAGAGATGCTCAAGTCTTAAGACCTTTCCTATTAATGACTTATTGTTATTTCACAAAGTAAAACAGGACAGCTCAAAAGTGAACTTCATTAACGCAAATCCCCAAGTAATTTGGTCAGAGACGACACCAAGCATGTGACAGGGTGACACTTGGAGCTGTAATGGCACTGACTGATTGGCAGCACCGTGTTCTAGGTAAGGACTGTCAAAATCGAGGAACTGAGCCACAGGGCAGCAAACAAGAGCATGGGCATGGAAGTGTTCGCCTCTCTCTGTTCCTGACTCTGATGTGACGTCATCAACTGTTCAAGCTCTGATGTCCCTGCTATGAAGGACTGTAGCATGGCATGTGGGCCAAAATCAACCATTTATTAAGTTGCTGCTTTTTGTGCCAGGAGTGGAAGTAAGGCAGTCCTCCAAATACAAATCTCCACACCTTCCACCTTTGATCTTGTTTACTCATCAATAGTTATGGGAAGGTAGGAGAATGTCCGAGCTACATTTTACTATGGTTTTCTTTGTAAATTTACAGGATGGTGACCATCATGGGCTGATTATGAAAGAAGTCATGAAACAGAAGCTTTATGTGCTCATGAGTCTGTTTACAGTAGCCTCCTCCTGGGACTGTCATACACATGCTTGAACTTCCTAAAGGAAGTGGGCTGTAAGCATTGTGACCAAGGGTTTTAATAAACCAGAAATTTACTGAATAAACCAAGGGACAAAGGTTTTTAGTGGGGTACCCTGAAGGAAGAAGAGAAGGCTGAAGAGATTGCCCCTTAGTGATAGAGGCAGAAACCCTTTATGTTTTATCTGAATGTACAGTTTTAAACTTTGTAGACAAGATGCTTGCCTCTGTACCTGCCTGGCTTTCATTCACCTTAAGAGTCCAAGCAAATGACTTTTCTTTCTGAGCCT